TATTATATAGATCATATGTTGACAACTTGTCAGGCTAGAGATCAGACTATTATAAAGATCATATGTAGACAACTTGTCAGACTAGAGATCAGACTATTATAGAGATCATATGTAGACATCTTGTCAGACTAGAGATCAGACTATTATAGAGATCATATGTAGACATCTTGTCAGGCTAGAGATCAGACTATTATAGAGATCATATGTAGACAACTTGTAAGGGTAGGGATCAGACTATTATAGAGATCATATGTAGACAACTTGTAAGGGTAGGGATCAGACTATTATAGAGATCATATGTAGACATCTTGTCAGGCTAGAGATCAGACTATTATAGAGATCATATGTAGACATCTCGTCAGGCTAGAGATCAGACTGTTATAGAGATCAACAGACTATTATAAAGATCAACAGATTATCATAGAGATCAACAGACTATTATAAAGATCAACAGATTATCATAGAGATCAACAGACTATTATAAAGATCAACAGATTATCATAGAGATCAACAGACTATTATAAAGATCAACAGATTATTATAAAGATCAACAGGTTATTTTAGAGTCAGACTATTATAAAGATAAACAGATTATTATAGAGATCAGATTATTATAAAGATCAACAGACTATTATAAAGATCAACAGATTATTATAAAGATCAACAGACTGTTATAGAGATCAACAGAATATTATAGAGAAGTTTAACCGATAATAAATCATTAAATACGCTGGAAAACTCGATCACACATGAAGGATACAAATGTACGTACATCTCGCCATTAAATCTAAAAAGTCTCTTACATGAACGGACATCTTGTACTAGACAAGCCAGTTTTAACAGTTTTATTTAAAGAAGAAGGGGTTTTTGTGTACTTGCAAGAATAAGACTTTCTGTTCGAATAATCAAATTAAAGTGAAATTGTTGGACATAAAAGGAAAAATCCTGATTTCCATTAGTGGACATGGCTAAGGAAACGGTCATCTGTGTGTGTGGACAGTCGAAGCGCTATGGAGAGAGGAAGAGGTCCAGTGTGCACCTGATTCTTCTGGGTCTCAAGACCGAAATCACGACCAAGCGACCACCAGTGCAGTAGTGCCAGTCACCAACCACCAGGTTGCGATATATAGATGCTCCTCTCTCCTAATCGGAATTTAGGTCTTTGTGACCTAGGAGGGTCAGGTACTCTGAGACCTCTTCCTCCCTATATAGATGCATTTAGTTTGTTTTGTTTGTTTGAATTTCGCGCTAGCTGTCCCTAATTTAGCAGTGTAAGACTAGAGGAAAGGCAGCTAGTCATCACCACCAACCGCCAACTCTTGGGCTACTCTTTTACCAACGAATAGTAGGATTGACTGTCACATAATAACGCCCCCACATGTTATGGTGTGACGGGGATTCGAACCCGCGACCCTCAGATTACGAGTCAAGCGCCCTAACCACCTGGCCATGCCGGGGCCCTAACCACCTGGCCATGCCGGGCCCAGATGCATTTGTTTTACCTCTAAAAATATGTAAGATGCACGAGACAGTACTGAAGTTTTATACGTTATATTTCTATTCTCCAAAACTAGGTGTATTCTGTAAGAAATGGAGGTATATAGTACACCGGAACGCTTGTGTATATAAAAACAAATGTTAGGGCCACAAAATGATCTGTTTAGAATGAGGGAACACTCATTAATTTCATACAATTTCAATTGAAGATAGAACAATGCGAGAACACTAGTCAAGTGTTTGGATTAAAATCTAATAAAATAATGTTGTATAAATGTGTTCAATGTACTATCATACACTATTAAACTATACCATCTAAGTTAGGGTTCTAAAACTGGGGACTACGTACCCCCCGGGGACCTCAGTCAGGATGCGGGAAGACCCATGATCTCAATTACATAGAGTTTATAAAGAAAACCTCATATTTCAAATGATCATATCTTAAATGTTACTTGTAGTAGGAATATTTGATTTCTCCAGGGCCACACTTAGGATTATACATTGTAGCCAATAAAGGGATGACAGGGCGTTACAAAAAAGAGGGTTTTTAATAGGTTTCTATCATTCTCGATCAGCCTATCCCTAAATATAGCCTCTGGAGTCACTACCTGTACTGGGTAGTATTATGTGAACCTCGTAATATCCTTTTGAAACGTCCAATCAACGTCCAGTCTTTTCCAAATAAAGCTTATGATTTTATAATAGGCCTAGGGTGAAATTTTATTCCTCTAAATGCATGAGAAGCCACCGTAATAATCTTGAAATATGAGTTTTTTTTTTAGTTTTTTTACATGCTTGCCTAGCTTTAAACTAGAACAATAAACGTTAAAGGCATAGCTGGAGCGGTTTTGTTCGAAATCAGTTGAATCTCAGAAATTCATAATTGATAAACGAATTATTTATTCGTTTGCTGTTAATCATAAAGCTACACAATGGGCCATCTTTGCTCTGTCCACCGCGGGTGTGGAAACCCGATTTTTAGCGTTATAAACCTTCAGACTTACCCCCGAGCTACCGTGAGGGCTGTTAAATGAAAACAACAAACAAACAAACAAAAATGGCATCGTTGTAAAATAGATGTAACAGATGACACGAGCTTTTGGCGGGAGATCACGTGAGGATTCTCGTTGCTAGGAGCAACAATTGTTCAACTGTAAACCACGAATTTAATACGATATTAACAGCAGGATACGCGCTTTATTATTATGTGATTAACACAAATGTTACCGAAGCACAGTTTCTAGACGAATGACCTTATAGAAATAATTGTTTCGTGCAGCAGGAATGGAATGCGCTAGCTATGTAACTATTAATCTACTAACCAGAGACAGAAAATTGCAATTGACTGTTTCTGGACGATATCAGATGGTTATCTTAGTTGTATCGTTGTGGTAATATTTAGAGTCCTTTGTTGCGTGGGGCTAATATTATTCTAACGGGTGTTTTGTTAAGTTACTTGTTAATTAACAACAATAAAAACTGAAACATTACATACACTAATGAGAAGTTCATGCCCATCCGCGTCACACGAGAAAAAGACAATTTTGTTGTCAAGGTTACTAGTCCCCAGTCTTTACTGTCTTGTCTGACATCAGACCAGTATGAAGTTATATACGTTTTTTTCAACCCTGATAAATACACATGTGTGGTTTATATTGTTATTCGTGTTACTGTCTTGTCTAACATCAGACCAGTATGAAGTTATATACGTTTTTTTTCAACCCTGATAAATATATGTGTGGTTTATATTGTTATTCGTGCTACTGTCTTGTCTAACATCACACCAGTATGAAGTTATATACGTTTTTTTCAACCCTGATAAATACATGTGTGGTTTATATTGTTATTCGTGCTACTGCCTTGTCTGACATCAGACCAGTATGAAGTTATATACGTTTTTTCTAACCCTGAATTTGTCACATTTCCCTGAAATACTTCCAACAATTTTTTTTCCAAAACCGAAACTGTAGGAAAAACTACATTCTTGCTTTTGGTTTTAGTTTTGTTTCGCACGAATAACAATATAAACCACACATATATTTATCAGGGTTGAAAAAACGTATATAACTTCATACTGATCTGATATCAGACAAGACAGTAGCACGAATAACAATATAAACCACATATGTATTTATCAGGGTTGAAAAAACGTATATAACTTCATACTGGTCTGATGTCAGACAAGACAGTAGCACGAATAACAATATAAACCACACATGTATTTATCAGGGTTGAAAAAAAACAGACAAGACAGTAACACGAACAACAGTATAAACCACACATGTGTATGGGGAATTATTATTCTCAATCAAGATGGCGTTCCGTACTCAAAGCTTCTATCATCACTCAACTCTCGTTCTCAGCTGTCACAGTGAAGAGTGTCATTTTTTTTGGTCAGATAATTAATCATCCTAATTATCATATAAATATATACAGAAACTAACATTATGCCCAATTAGACCAATCATTTCATTTTGGGTAACAAAAGTTGGTCAGTTTGTGTTTTCTCTAAAGGTAAATTAGACCAATCATTTCATTTTGGGTAACAGAAGTTGGTCAGTTTGTGTTTTCTCTAAAGGTAAATTAGACCAATCATTTCATTTTGGGTAACAGAAGTTGGTCAGTTTGTGTTTTCTCTAAAGGTAAATTAGACCAATCAACTCATGTTGGGTAACAAAAGTTGGTCAGTTTGTGTTTTCTTTAAAGGTAAACTATGCCAATCAACTCATGTTGGGTAACAGAAGTTGGTCAGTTTGTGTTTTCTTTAAAGGTAAACTATGCCAATCAACTCATTTTGGGTAACAAAAGTTGGTCAGTTTGTGTTTTCTCTAAAGGTAAACTATGCCAATCAACTCATTTTGGGTAACAAAAGTTGGTCAGTTTGTGTTTTCTCTCTTCTTAGTATAAAATATATCAATACAATTGAATGGTGAACAAAACCAATGAGGGACGACAGCTACACAGGATAGACTTATCTAATTCGATAACATCAGTTTTTAAAAGTAATCTCCGGTTAACTTCATGTTAATGACTACTTCCTCATCGTCATGACAAAGCCTCATGGCATGAGTTCTTTTCTTAAAGTTATGTTCAGATGCGATAAGAATAAACTGCCAAGATCGTGATGTTATCTCTTCCTTTACAAAAACAACAACAAATAACACTAACTCGTCTGTTCTCTCTCTCTCTCTCTCGAGTCCAACTGTCTACTCCCCAATCATCCCCCCTCCCTTTTCCATTTCAAATTCATATCTTTCCGTTATTGTTTCTATCCAATCGGAGTCATCACATTTTATGATCCCTCGTTCCATATTATTTATCATGTGTGACCCAACTTAAGAATTTGTCCAACAACACGTAACTAACTGTAATTCTTACGATGCTGAAAATATAGAGCGGTTCCTAACTGCTGAGCCCCCCCCCCCCAGTAGCACAGCGGTATGCCTGCGGACTTACAACGCTAGAAACCGGGTTTTGATACCCGTGGTGGGCATAGCACAGATAGCCCATTGTGTAGCTTTGTGCTTAACTACAAACAAACAAACCTAACTGTTGAACAACAACAACACAAACTGGTCTTCTTACACTGACCACACCCATAATATAAAAATATTTGATCAACGTCATCCTATTTATCAACCATTATTTCGTATCACAAACAAAAGTACCAAATTAGTTGTGAAATACCCTTGTCTTTGTGCCATTTTGATGTGCCACCAAGGAATCCGTCTGCACTGGAAGATGGGGCAAAGAATGAAGATGAGCAGCAGGAAGAAGAGCGATTTTCTGTGTAGCACATATGCCATTGTTTTCCACGTGATTCCGTCTGCAAAACAATGAATGCTTTTTCTTTTCTTTCAATGAAAATTACCAAAATATCACCGTCTATGAGCACTGCATTGATTCTATCACCCTTAATACTTAGTGTTGTTGATAAACCGTTTCTAACCAGAAGTGCTCGCGCCGACTTCTCAAGGAGCTGAGCTGAAGTGCTCAATTTCCTTACGAACTACAAACGAGTCTTCCTACGTCTTTGTTTCGCGTCACGACTGACGCCTTCGTTTTTAGTACGGATGTTTTTAACGTTTCTATATTCTCTCTCGCACCCTGCTCCTAGATTCGAGAGAGGACCAATGAGCTGATAGCGGGGATTACTTCCCAAACAATGAAACTCCATTTAAAAGATAATCTTATTCTAATTAATTGCTTCTTAATTGTTTCTTTCTTTCTTTTAGAGCAAAGCCACATTGGGCTATATGCTGTGTCCACTGCGGGAAATCGAACCCCGGATTTTAGCGTTGTAAGTCCGTAAAATCATCGCTGGCCCACCGAGGGACGAAAAAAAAGACAAGACTTATCATTGATAGGTGTAATATCAATTATGAATGTATTAATTTGGAGTAACATAAATTACTAGCTAGTTCCTGAACTGAATTATTAATAAAAACAATAGTGGATTTAGGCTTAAGCAGTATAGTAACTTATTTAAATTAGACACACCTATTTGTAACGTGCCGATCCAAATACCGTTTACGAAGGTGTCTCGTGCGACACGTGAAGTCTAGGAGAGTATCTCCTGAAACTTCTGTAGGAGGTTACACAAAGAAAAGTTGGATAAATGAAATTAAACTATTCTCTTGAAATATGGATAATGAGTGCATCCTGCCATCTTAATAACGGTGGTGGCGTTGTCTCATAACGACAATAATTAACCACTGATGGCGTTGTCTCATAACAACAATAATTAACCACTGCTGGCACTACACAATAATCAACCATTGGTGGCGTTGTCTCATAACAACAATAATTAACCACTGCTAACACTACACAATATTCAACCATTGGTGGCGTTGTCTCATAACAACAATAATCAACCATTGGTGGCGTTGTCTCATAACAACAATAATCAACCATTGGTGGCGTTGTCTCATAACAACAATAATCAACCATTGGTGGCGTTGTCTCATAACAACAATATTCAACCACTGGTGGTGTTGTCTCATAACAATAATAATTAACCATTCTTAGCTTACCGTTCCCCATACATTATCATCGCTGTGATAGATTGAACATGTAAAACAAGAGTGAAATAAACACCGATTTCCAACATTTGAAAACAGTTTAATCTGACTGTTAATCTTTGTTTCATGTTTATCTTAGATGTTACTAACTGAAATAACCAGTGGCTCAGCAGCAATTCAGCAGATTTATAACGCTAAAAACCGGGTTTCGATACCCGTGGTGAGCAGATAGCCTGTTGTGTGTAGGTGTTTCCAAACAAACCAGTCAAATTTATCTTAGTATTTACTGTACGGAATGATGTCGTCTCATGTTTGTTCAGATGTCTTACAAAAAAAGGTAATTACAATTTTCAGAAGCGTTTTCATACACCATAAAAACTGCCTACTTGAGGGCACCAAAAGTTGGATAATTTCAAACACGTAGACCGTCTGCCCGCTGGGAACAAAAAACGACAACGACAAAATCTACACTTTAATTAGATGTAATTAGTAATTGCTCAGGCAGACGTAACAAACTCTTTCATCTTACCACTATCTGTAAAATAACCAACCACCACGGGGTTCTCAATAACCCGAGTTACGGGCAAGGCTTTAATGAAAAAAAAAAGTATTTGATGAAACCAATAGTATGATTACTCTCTTCTTCATGGGCTTATTAATTCGGGTCAATTTTCTCAAGTACCAGCCTTCGTCCGGCATTCTTTCCATTAGTTGAGCTGTTATTCTATGAAAATCGCCCATTGCTACGTTTTCCGATGCATACGTATACCCCTGTAATGTTTGGTTGTTGTTCAGTACAAAGCTACACAATGGGCTATCTGTACTGTGCCCACCATCCCTCAGTAAAAGATTTTACGTTCTAACGTTAAGGTTTTGGTGATCTGATATCACTCGTTGTTATCGTTATTAGCCAACACGATTACCTAAGTCCAATTATAATTAGTTCGTGATTTTTTTATTACAATATGTTAATTTCTAATTCTATATTACCAGATGCTTGTTCTAAAATTTGTCCTGTTTTAACGTAAAGCTTCATAGTGCTGTCCACCTCGGGGAATCGAATCTCGGATTTTAGAGTTGGAAATCCATAAACGTACCCCTGATCCACTGGGATGGACTATTAGATAGTAACTAGTAATAATTTATATTCACACTTTCGGCTGTTACTCTACTGCCTTCTTCAGAAAAGTCCTGAAAAGGACCGTGTGGTGGGTCATCTTGTCAGATCTTACGTTTGACATCATTGAATGTATAAATGTATCAAAACATATACTATCTTCACAATAAGTTACCTTTACATTGGCCACATAAACTACTGTTCAAATGTCCCAGTATAACTTAACCCTAAATAACTGGCATAATTCTGTGTTATCATTTTAGGTTTCTTTTATGAGCCGTCTCTGCAGTGCCTTTGCCTCCCAGTGGCACAGCGGTACGTCTGCGGACTTACAACTCTAGAATCCAGGTTTCGATACCAGTGGTGGGCAGAGCACCGATAGCCCATTGTGTAGCTTTGTGCTTAATTGCAAACAAACAAGCAGTGCCTTTGGTTTGGTTTACCCATTTCTTGAGTGGTATCTTCCCCCTCGTGATGATAGTTTTTACCATTATCACCTCCTTTCTGCACTGTATTTGGCTGATCGAACAGACGCAAGTAGCGCCCCCTAGCGGGAAACTCGAACACTGTCTTAAACTGCAATTTTGCGTATTAAAAGTGAAATAATTTTCCTATGGCCGTAGATACACAACCAAACTTTTATAGACTCGTAACGTACAAGGCAAAAATGATTTAATACGTGACACGAACGTAGAAATATATATTCATTTGTATAAGTTAAACTATATATATGTGTGTATGCTCTACAACTTTTTATATGTACAGATAAGTAGAGGAGCCGAAATAAGCTAATGGCTCTTCCATAGAAAAATAAACAGTGGTTATATAGCACAAAACGTCTTTAAACTTCCAAGTAAGCTAACTGAGGAAGGACATTGTAAGATGATGACCCCATTCCTTATTTGTTATTAAATCGTTAATGACTTCATTAGATGCTAGTTACATAGGTAAAGAAAAAAGTAAATGTAGGGATGGCTAATATCAATCCTTCAAAAACAATGTAAACAAGATAGTATGGATGGCATTCGCATCATCCCTACATAACAGCAGTGGCAAGAATTAACATATAGCAATATATATAACTATCCAATCACAACTGAGATTAATTTATTCTATTTTTGTCTGATAATATTCTACTACACTGTGTGCCTGTGCTATTATGTAGTGCTAATACCAATCAATGACATTTGTATGATCCCATTACATGTGTTACCATCTATCACCCATCGATTACCGTTATTTTTGTGTGGTAACTGGAAACTATCCGACATTGTACATGACTATTTAAACAAATTTAAGTACAGGGTGAAACAGAAATTACCAGCCAATAATAGATAAACAATAAATATCACAGTAGGAACCTCATTGTATTTATAACCAAGTTCTAAATACAACCTTCCTATGTCTATTGAAACACTGGACCCAAAAAAAAAAGTAAATAAAAAACTTTTCAAAAAAGGAAGTAAATGTAGGGATCCATTACATGTGTTACCATCCATATGGATATAGATATGATCCATATGGATATAGATATGATGGATGGTAACACATATAATGGATCATATCTATATCCATATGGATGGTAACACATATAATGGATCATATCTATATCCATATGGATGGTAACACATATAATGGTGTAATGGATCATATCTATATCCATATGGATGGTAACACATGTAATGGATCATCTTTATATCCATATGGATGGTAACACATGTAGTGGATCATATCTATATCCATATGGATGGTAACACATATAATGGATCATATCTATATCCATATGGATGGTAACACATGTAATGGATCATCTTTATATCCATATGGATGGTAACACATGTAATGGATCATCTTTATATCCATATGGATGGTAACTCATATAATGGATCATATCTATATCCATATGGATGGTAACACATGTAATGGATCATCTTTATATCCATATGGATTGTAACACATGTAATGGATCATATCTATATCCATATGGAAGGTAACACATATAATGGATCATCTTTATATATTTATTGATATATAAGTGGATATTAATAGAATTTTCAAAAGGTGGACCTACACCATATTAAAATATATTTTGTTGATTTTCCAAGGTGTTTCTATTATTTTGTCCAACCCTGTATCTATATATTTATTGATATATAAGTGGATATTATTATCATTGTTCGTTTTTATTTTTGAACGCTTTTATTTTTTCACTAACTACATGAAGAGTGTTTTGTTTTACGAACACAGTGTCAAGTCATGAAATAACTGGTAACGCCCATGTGCTAGTCTCGAGTTAAGACAGACGGGTGAACGATCTTTTGTTGGTAGGTGCTGTTCGTTAATTCACCAATGTTCGACGTAAGGTTGTTGTGGAACTACTTTTGTTGAACGGGTTTTTTGTTGTTCAACCCCCTCCCACGATCAGTTCCTCTCTTGTCCCCAATTATTTATATAACTAACCCAAGAGGGGATCCGTAACCGTTAGGACACACACACACACCCTTAGTATGTGCGCCACGTTTCATCCTGCTAACTTGTGAATGTGGGTATGAACATAGTTCCTAATGTGGCACCCTCGAGGGGATCCAGGAACACGATAACGTGGCACCCTCGAGGGGATCCAGGAGCACGAAATCTTCTGCCAGATTTGAGTTCAGCGGTTCTTCAAACTTACTCCTTAACCCCATCTTGCCTGGGTGATCTTGTTACCTCTTTCGTAGGACGGCTATGCCATACAGACTATGACATCCCTGGGCCACCCCAAGATCACCTGCCTAGTTTAGTCTTACTAGCTCCACAAGTACAGAAGGAGTTCGCCAAATTCACCTGCCTATTTTGGCCCTACTGGCTCCACAACTATGGAAGGAATTCGCCAAGTTCACCTGCCTAGTTTAGTCCT